AGCAGTTTGGATCAAGTTAAAATGTTAATGACAATAACAACAATAAAAGCTCACATTTCTGTAAGGGCTTAGCAGTTTACAGAATGCTTTCATGGTTTACCTCATTTATGACGATTTGTGTTATTCATTTGGATATCCTTAACCCCAGCCTGCCTGACTAGTTTGGATTATTCAGACTCTACGGAGGATGATTCCCAGCCTTCTAAGTGTCAGGAGGAAGGCTAGTGCTAATGTCACGCAGCCTGTCTTGCTTTCCCGCCCCAGTGCCCTTTCCTTTCTCTCTAACCTCGGAGGCGGAGGGGAAGGGCAGGGGAGGAGAAGGGAGGGAAGGTGAGAGAAAAAAAAAAAACCATCAGTATTGATTGCCCTCTTCCAAAGCCAGGGAGTTTAGACATAAACTCCCCTGACTCCCCTGAGTATCCCAGTTTAAAGTAAACTTTTCCTGCTCTAAACTCTTGTAGCCACTGCCATCGCCATGCCTTCCCTTGTAATCTTATCTTCGCAAAGATACTGTAAACTTCCTGATGGTGAGATCATGTCTTATATTTCTACTTACCCTCCACCAGTGTCTGCACATTGTAGGCAATAAATGTTTGTTGATAGCTTGACTTTGTCGAGTGACATGGAAGGTGCTTTGTAGGCCTTCCAGGGGCACTCAGCCTTTCTTGGCTGTGTTTCCTCTAGTGATTTTAGGACAGCCTTCCCATGTCACCCCTCTGGCACTGGAGGAAGAAGGTTATTAAGGTACAAGGAATTGTGCTCATGATGCAGCTCACTGAGATCTGAGGCAAGGCATTAGAGGGTGTGCTTTTTGGTTGCTCACCCAAAATGAGGTGAGGCAGCAGTTTTTGCATTTGAGTGCGAGGTAAATTTCTAGGATGCATCAGTAATTAGATAATTTGATACCCCGGAGTAGGAACTCCCACAGTGCCCTGGGAAATGGGCCTGGTTGTGCCCCAGGAGAACACTTTGAGTATCTCTCTATATTCTCTGAACAAAATCCCTCTTCAAGTATAATATAGAATTTTACATAAAGGTGATTTTAGCTGATGTGATGGAAATGTGGGCAGGAGGAGCTTCCTAGAGTCCCCTGAAATATAGAAATACTCTTTTTGTTTCATGGTGTCACATTGTAAGTGCTTCTAAACAGTAGATGAAATGGCACTTCCAAGTGATCACTAATTGGTGAAATAAGAAAAGATGGTCCCAAATGTGGAAATGTATTTCTTCTAGCTAGAAAATCCATGATTTCTTCCCTCCTTTCCTTCCTCTTTCCTGCCTCCCTCCCTCCCTTCCTTCGTACCTTCCTTTCTTCCCTCTCTTCCTTCCTCAAATATTTATTGAGTGCTTGCTGTATGTTAGACACTGTTATAAGTGCTAGGGCAATAACATTTTATCTTGACCTATCAGGATTCAGTTAACAGGATTTTGATTTGTGGTTGTTGCCCTTTTGCTGTTTTTTAAAAGGCATTATTTTATTTGTGTGTATGTGCTTCTGAGTTGTTTGGTTTGGGTTCCTTCAGTACACTGTAGGCTCTGAGAACAAGAACCTGAGAGCAAGAAGCTGTAACCCTCAGTTTCTGTTGCTTGCCTCCTCTGTGCCTAACACAGTGTGCTGTCCACTGTAGGGATTGATACAGGTTGCCTGAATGCCTCTCCTTCTGATTGCCCGAGAACACTGCAGTGTCCATAGACATGGGCAAGACCAATACAGCATTGATGGAAGAAAACCATAGATCAGTGTTTGCTAACCAATTTCACTTACCTTTTTTTTTTCTTGTCCAAAGGGGATCTCATTCCTAGGCACCAGCAAGTGTTTAGCACGAATCAGTACTTCAGTGGAGTGAAAATTCCAGACCCTGAAGATATGGTGAGTGACCCATTTTGGAGAGAGCTCTGTAGGCCAGGCTAGCTAGGCTTTGGTCGTTATTCACCTCCCTGAGCCCCATGGCTCACCCTGCATTGGAGGTCAGTCTAAGAGAGAAAAAGAAAATTGGAGCAAATTGGCTAGCGAGACTTTAGCCTCAATGCTAATTTAGAGGCTGTTGATAACAGAGTCCAGCCAGCCTGTTGCACAGGAATGCAGAGCTGCCTGCCAGAGCCATACCTGTCCTTTATCATTTTTTAGCAGTTGAACCTAGGTAGCTCAGAGCCAACCAACTTTTAGACCTAGACCTATCCAGATAAAATTAACTAGTTTTTCCCCAGCATTGTCCAAATTCCCTACTCTACTATGCCTATGGTCTCCAGACCATGGGAAAAATCATAATGAACTTACTTGGGTTGGGCACAATGGTTCAGGCCTGTAATCCCGGCACTTTGTGGAGGCCGAGATGGGCAGATCACCTGAGGTCAGGAGTTCCAGACCAGCCTGGCCAACATGGTGAAACCCTGTCT